AGAAGATTCACAAGTCCTACGCCACGTGAGGGAGGGTAGGAGGCAAGGGGTCCACGGAGCTCCGGACCTTTCTCAACAGCTCAGCATAGGATCTGCTGTTCAATTGATTCTCCACTCCCAATACCTCCTTAAAAGCTTTGCCCCCTCTCCCTGGGTTCCCACCACTCCCTCCTGAGCGCATGTAATTGCTTCTCAGCACTGCGCGAGAATGCTCTTTCTTAAAAATACCCTTAAAGTTCATCAGAGACTCTTCAACCTGTGGCCTTCTGCAGAGAGCTCAACTCCTGGCACAGCACGGTCTGCCCTGCTGACCTCCCCTGCCTGGTCCTTGGTCTCTGGTGCCCTTCATCCATCCAACCCAGCTTGCGCTTTGTCTCCTGCCGCATCTTCAGTCCCCCCCCCCCCGGGGCTGTGCGCTCCCACAGGGGCCTGGAGCACCCCCTCCACCAACGTGGGACTGAGTCAACATCAGATAGCCTTTCTGATYGGCACTTGGAGGCCAGGAGAGTGGGCCCCATGCCCGCCCCTGCTTCTCCCTGCCTTTGCCGCCCCTGCCTTCAGTGCACGCCCACCTTGACRCTCTGCTACCACACCCCATGCTGATCTCTATCCCAGAGTGCCYAGGACTCAGAGGACGTCTGTTTCTCCCACCAGAGTGTGAGAACCGGAAAGGTAGAACTGCATCTTTTTTCTTTACATTCCCATCTCGCAGCCCAGTATTTACAACCTAAGAGATACTTCCTATATGTTTGTTGGATTTTTAAGAGAATAAACATGTAAATGAGTTGGAAGATGCCAGGAGAAGGCCAAGGTAATAGATACAGTTCACACAGGCTGATCTGGTCACCTTGCCCCGTCCATGGTCTCTGGCTGCTCCCAAGAGTCTAGCGAACTACTTCACAAATGTGGGTCATTAATTTTAACATGGGRGGACCCGGTGAGAGTCAACCGCAAACTCACTGCTAGAGAAAAAAATCAAAGTGCTGGTCGACGAGGTCACTTCGCTGCTGGTGAAAAGGAATAACAATTTGGTGGAGAACTGGTGAGCCACACACTTTGTTCTGCATTTACAGAGAAACCTGTTGAGGCTGTTCTAGGGGAAGACACTGATGTCACAGCTTCAGTCCTGAAGAGGAGGCCAGGAGAGTGGGCAGCCGCARGTGCTGTCCCCAGCTACTCAATCTGACCATCTTAAAGCCTGCACCAAGGTCACCAAAGGAGTAAAGACAGGGACAGAGAGCCTCCTCTTCCACTCCCGCTGCCAGGGGCCACCTGATTGCACTGTGCCTCACGTAGATGGTGGCTTCCACTCAGCATTCAGCCCACTCTGCTGCCCAACGCAAACCAATTTCTGAGCAATTCTTCCGGCAAGYGCCCTGGTCCTGTTGATCTCACAATTACATCTAGAAACACTTAACCATGAGGCATGTCAGTGGACTGGCCGCTTGGTKCTGCTTCCTCTCAACTTGGGCATCRCCACAGCCTGTGCTAAAAATAAAAAAATAAGTTTCTCTGTCAGGCCAGGCTCAAGTTATTGCGCCAAAGGGAAGAAGTCTCCCAGATCCACTCTTGGTACTAAAATTTCTACCTTTAAAAAAATTACCGGGATAATGTATGTGGGGGTTAAAGGTGAATTTCTAAGGTTGTTCAATGGAGTGACATACAGAGAAGTAGGAACGATGGAAATCRACCCTGACAGACTCCTAAAATGGATGAAGGCCCAGCAACATGCTCATGGAACCAGGGAATTATTATGTTCTCAATTATTAGCTGACTAAAGGTCCAGCGACCCTGAGCAGAAAGAAGGGGTAGGATCCAGGACATGAGGATCAAACACAAGGCTAACCAGAGCCTCTGGTCCCCTGTCCTTCCCACCATATCCAGTCTAGATCTTGGGGCCAGCAGCCCACTCGGGGCACATACCACCTGGGGACGAGAATGGGAAGGAAAGGGTGAGAGGCAAAGAGGATTCCTTCCCTTATCTACCAGATCTAGGCAGGGAGACAGGCCCCAGGCACCCTGTGTGTTTACCAACTCCACCTCTTGGCCTCTCCGAGGAGAAGAAGAAAACGGACCACCTAAATAGTGGATTTCAAACCCAGCTTGTCTTCAGGCTCATCAAGGAGCTTTGGAAAGACACTGATTCGGGACCTAGCCCTTGACATGCTGGTTTAGTAGATCTGTAATGGAACACAAAATCTGAATTTTAATGAAGTCCTCAATTTGAGAAACCACTGATGAAGTTTCTCTTATCTGGTGAAAAGGAATAACAATTTGATCAAGGACTGGTGAGTACAAAGCAAGACATGGGCAGTGTGGAAGGCTGGRTGGGGCTGGAGAGATGGTTTTGTGGACAGCTGTGTCTCCCCAAGTTCCCAGGATGTGGAAACCCCAGGTTGCTGCTCCTGACAGTTTGTAAAAGCAAAACATTTTTTSATTGTCTTTCTACTATTGCCACAGACTAAATCACAGTAAATTGAACCTATAAACAAACAAATGGCCTTGCAATTTGTCCAGGGTAAGGCAAGTGCACCCAGCAGCTAAGCATCAGTCTCACGTGTATTTGGTGAGTGCYTCTGCCAACCACTTCACACAGGGGTCTCAGAAGAAAGAAAGCACAGTCTGTCCTTCCTCTCCAGAGGCACAAYCTGGAGCCCTTTTCCCATCTAAAATTTGTCATTCCTTGGACACTTTTATCTGGGGACCAGCTCCCTCAGGGCATATACCTACGGGCAAAGAGATTTTATTCTTCTTTCAAACTTGAAAAAACCTAATCCAAAGAGGCATGGTGGCAYACACCTGTAAACCCAGTGACTCAGGAGGCTGACGCAAGAGGATCACAAGTTCAAAGCCAGCCTCAGCAACCTAACAAGTTCCTAAACAACTTACTGAGACCTTGTCTCAAAATGAAAAATAAAAAGGGCTGGAAATGTGGCTCAGTGGTCAAGCACCTCCAGGTTAAGTTTGAAGAAGAAGGAGAAGGAGGAGGAGGAGGAGGAGGAGGAGGAGCTGATTTAATGATGAAACCGTCCTTCATGGGAAAGGACTATTATTGCATAAGGCAGGTGTAAGGTGAAGGCCAAGAATATTGTGTGTTGATCTTCTAAAATGAGAAATTCTGTCAGTGAGCTATAAGGGGCGAGAGGAAGGCAGACATGACAGTTGCTGCAAAGACCAGGTCAAGAACAGCCTGAAAGCCTAAAAGCAATARCAGTGCTCCCAAGGCAGAGGGAGAGGGGACAGCAGCCACTTGCAACTGTCCCCTGCAGTGGAACTGTAGCCTTGAGAAATGGGTGGGATCAAGAACTTCAGAGACCTGACACACTGGAGATGAACACTAACAGGTTTCCTGCAGCTATTAAGGAAATCAGTTTTAAGGAGTAAAGATTTAATTTAAGCATAGAATCTTTTGAGGCAGCTTTAAACTTTGAGGTTTTATATGATGGTGGAGATGTTGAGCTCCTGCCAATTACAGCATCGGCTCTACTTCCCGTTTTAGTAGCATCCAAAGAGTGCTCGACTTGGGGTCTGAAAACTTGCATTCGAGTGGCCTGAGTAAGCCATGCGATCCTTCGGAGCACACTTTCCTTGTCTGTAAAGTGAGCCTCTCCACTCTACCCCTCTGCCTTCCTCCCCAGTTTCTCACAAGAATGAAATGGAAATTGGAAAAGCACATGCTAAACTTACAGAAACAGAGTGCTGTTCCCTGGTGTGGCCACACCTGAAGTTGGTATTGGGGATGCCCTGAACAGTGCTGTGACAGTGTCCACRCTGTTGGACAGTAACCTGCAGCCAGTCCTTGTGCTGGGCATGAGTGCATCTTCAGAGGGGCCTTGATGCAGGCCACCAAACTCCAGCAGTCTTCCTAATGATCTTCCTGATAATCTCAGATGGGGCTTTAGATGACAGAGGTTTGGATGAGGTTGCTGTGTCACCTTCCTTCTGAGACATGCTGTCTATTACCTACCATCTAGCTTTCCAGGTGGTAGGATGTCACACCTGTGGTATACTAGTTCTACCACTAGGAGGCACTGTAGTAACTGACCTGTGAAGCCCTCCCCAGCCGCTCCAGGGCTGCTACAGTTCGAGAAAGCCCATCACTAGCCCAGAAGATCACTGTATTTACAGAGCACCCAAACCACCCTTCCTGGCAAGGCTAGCTGTGCCTTTAACTTGCTCTGTCAGCCCCTGCAATCCAGAAGTCTCCAGTGGGCTTCTTGATTTGCCAGCTAAGCACTAAAATTTGTTCCGAAGCTAAACTCTCTAAGACACATGATTTAAGCTTCTCTTTCAGCTAATTAGATATTGTTCTACAAATTGGGCTGTTCTCTCTGAAAGATGAGCTGCAATTTACTTTCCCTGCCCTCTCCTTAAACTTAAACGGAACTGTAAAACATGGCCGTTTGCTTGTTTAGTACAATCAGGAGATTATTTTGTGCAAGGAATAGATATCCATCTTCTTGCTAATGCTGAGCTTGTTTGGGCATTCCTTAATGGCTGCTATGAAAATGAYGGAAGCTTTGCTGAGATCCCTTTTGCCCTTTTGAAAGGTGGACCCCACGGTGATTTATTGGCTCGTGCATSTGCGATAATCTCCCAAGCAACCCATCACAAACAACTGCATTAACATGTCTTCACTCCACAAGGCGGGAGATCTTCACTGCCCCCCATTTTACTGATGAAGAATTTGATCTCAGGGAAGCCAGGCCTTTTGCTGACATCCAAACAGCTAGGTATATGGAGAAGCCAGACAGTGAAGCCAACACTTTCATCCTCAGATCCCTTAAATCTATTGTCTGAAGAATCCAGTGTCAGGTGAAGAAGAGGAAGGCAAAATGGCACGGGGCTCGGTGCCTACACGGCTCAAATCCACTGCGGATTTCTTACAGCTCTGGATAAAATTCCAACCCTGAGGTCCTTTGAAACCTTCTGGGGCCCKGGGCTCTTGGACATAGTGGGAGAAAGGATCTTTTCTGGAAATTGCCTCTTTTATTGTGCAGGGGGCCGAGTATTCTCTCACCCTCAAGACTGTGCCCAACATCTGATGAACGGAGACGCTCTGAGCGGAGTGTACACCATCTTTCTCAACGGGGAGCTGAGCCAGAAGTTGCCGGTGTACTGCGACATGACCACAGACGGCGGTGGCTGGATCGTAAGTACACACAGCTGCTCTCCTTGCATGCAGATGTCCTTGGTGTCGCAATCTGCCTAGCTCAGCCTCTGTCGGCCCAGCGTCACTATCCATCTGGCCATCCTTTCACCCACACCTCCGTGTTCAGCAGCCCAGTGGGAGATTGAGCCAGGCAGARATGAGGATCAGCATATCCAGGCAGGGCCAGGATGACTGCCTTCCCTCCTGTCCCTTTTGCAAGGAGAGCGAGCGCATGCAGGAGGGTGCTGGGGAGAGGGGTCATGACCAGAGCCCAGGAACCTGCCTGCAGGGGGGCTGCCGCTGTAATAACGCACAGAGGAGGATCCCCTCTGTATAAGAGGAGCCTCCCTGGCCAGGCAGTAAGGTCCCTTCTCTCKGAGGGTCACACTGGGGGGTGGGGGCAAATGAGGGGCAGAACTTGGATGGCCACCTCCAAGGGCCTTCCCTGTCCTCCTCCTTCTCCGGCTGCTGGTTCTCTCCCAGAGCTATCATCACAGCCCTCAGAGAGCACCACTTACTGTCACGACCCCCTCCCACGTCTAACAGGCCAGTACAGAGCTGAAGGAAAGGGGGGGCCTCCCTCATGGCCACCTCTCCAGACAGGCCACCGTGCAGATGGAGCAGTAGCTGCCTGGTGCGAGATGGAAATGGCCTCCCCTCCACCCCCTGTGCRCCCCCCACCAGCACCGCTGACGCACAGAGCCAGATCCTCAGGGCGCAAAATGGGTGGTTTTTGAATAGAGAGAAATGGTGACTATGCTCCTAACAGCCACTCTCGGGAGGCATTTTCTTTTATGTTTCTGACATATTTGTGCCTCCTTCTTAAAGCATAATTGGAAATTGAAGCCGAGGCTGATGTATCGGAGGTTAAATGAAATTAGCACTTAAACAGCTCAGGATGTGAATGATATGCGGTTGCTTTGGCTGCAATAAGACGATGACAGTTACCAGATGATTTGAAGCTGCTTCTGTTCCTGTGGAGAGAAATGCTTTCTACCACACTCTGTGATACAAAAGATTAATTTGAGAGTCAGACCTATTTCCCCTGACTATTTGAGAGCTTGATAAGTGTCCTGGATCCTTTCTACATCGTAAGGGGTGCAAATTGGCATCAATGTCACCCCACAGCCTAGTCACCAGGGGCCTCTGTGCTGCAAGGAAGTGTTGTGAGCATTTCTTCCAAAWGCTGCAGTGTGGATCCTGAGCTCTGTTCTGAAACCTTCCTTATCTGGGCATCTTYGCCATTGTCCATACGGGACCCAGTTGCACCAATTTATTCAATTTTATTCGCTGTTGCTTTTCCTGATCACCTCTCCCCTCTCGCGTCCCCCTTGCTCTTCACAGGTATTCCAGAGGCGGCAGAACGGCCAAACTGATTTCTTCCGGAAGTGGGCGGACTACCGCGTGGGTTTCGGGAGCCTGGAGGACGAGTTTTGGCTAGGTAACGCCTGCTTCCCGCTTTGCCCTGGTGTGCTGCTCTGGCTTTTGGTGCAGCTCTCTCCTTTCTGCGTCCATCTGGAATCATCCGGAACCCGTGTCTGCTGAGCAGCTGACAGCTTGYGGATTGCTTTCAGAACCCCCTGCCCTGTTTGGCTGCACTATTGATCTGTTTTATCTTATTGTGGTGTTTTCCTCTTTGCTCCGTCTCTTCCCATCCTCATTCATAGTCTCTTATGCTGATGGGTCTCGACATAAGGCAGCTACCAAGGGAAGGAACTGCTAGGCAGGGGAAGGGGCACCGGGAGCAAGGGGCGGGCTGGCCAGGGAAATGAGGCCGGTCGCTCTGCTCGGTTCCTTGGAGCATGTCACTACCTGACTGGGAAGGAGAAGGAAAAGATGAGAGTGYCATGTGAGGCGAGCGGCAGTTTCTTGGAGGTCTGACACACAGGAGGTTTAGATGGAGAGCTGGGGCAGCCCGAGAAGGTGCAGAAACACTGCAGCCAGGCAGGGGACCCAGTGTCTGTTCATGATGCCCACGTCTCCCACCTGGTTAGATTTCCATAGCGACTGAGAAAGGCCGGCAGAGGAGAAGGCAGAGAATCAAGTCCCACACTGGTGGTCYCCTCTCTTCCTCCCCTGCACCATCTCATCCAAGCCTCACCATCTACCCAGATGTCCAGGTAGCAGCCCCTGAACTCCCGGGCCTCCCCATTGCCCACAGAGCCTCCGAATGACCTTCCTCACTCCCCACGTTGAGCAAGGTCAAGCCCTCTGTGAACCCTTTTCAGTGACTCCCCCTCACACCCAGAGGAGGGGTAGACAGCTCCGCCACAGAACAAGGCCTCCCCAACCACCCCCGCCTATCTCACTGTCCTTTCTGGCCAACTCCAAACTCCAGATTGCTCTCAGAACCACTGAGATGCCTCTGTAAGAACACTCTCGGCCACTTCTCGGGTGTCCAGCCACCTATATGCAAAGTCCAGCTAAGCACCCCTTCCTCCATAGGACCTGTCCTGACCATTTCCTCACCTGTCACCTTTGGGAGAACTGGCTCTCCTCTCTCTGTTGTGACCCAAATCACAACATCCCTCTCCCTTTCTGCCCTCTTGACTGTACTGTATAAGCTTTGCTCTGGGCTGGGCCCACCCCTGCGCCCACCCCATACCCATCTTCCAATGCCATTGCCTATAGCCATGCCTGGGGATAGTAGGTGTCCACAGTACAGATGTCAATCATCAGTGATAACCATTTAGCGAATATCTATTAGATAGCCAAATCTGTGTTTGCCAATGTAGGTGATAAAAAAAGGTAAAAACCATATAAACACATTGAGAAAAAAGTCAAATGGGAAAATGTGCTTACCTTTTTGTGATATCAGAGATTGAACCCATGGTACCCTACCACTGAGAAAAATCCACAGCCCTTTTTATTTTTTGAGACAGGACCACACCAAGTTGCTGAGGCTAGCCTCAAACTTGTGATCCTCCTGCCTCAGTCTCTAGAGTTGCTGGGATTACAGGTGTGCACCACTGCACCCGGCCAAAATACACAGACCTTGAAAGCATTTGCAAATACTTGGGAGGCAATCATGATGCGCATGAATCAATGTGTCCATAAGCAGATAGGACTTACATTTCCCAGGCCTAAGCCAAACCAGTTTCCTGGGTTTTTGTCAAATCTGTGAAATATATAAACTATCAGGAACTCAAATTTTCTATGTATCACTTTTTTATTTGGTTAAATCTATTTGTTAAAAAAAAAAGAAAAAACAACTTTACAGAGTTGCCAAAAAAGGAAATCTGGTTATCATGTGTCATAAGTAAAAGGAAACCTCAAAACTAAATGCAAAGAAAAGAAAGCAATACTGTTAACTGAGAGTCCCACCCAGGGGCTTTGGGCCCGCTGTGGTTGCTGGTGGTGGTATGAAAATGGAGACGGGAAAGTGTTGGGCGTTAAACCACAAAGTGCTTGAACCAAACTGGGACTGGGAATTGAGGCCAGGGTCAAGGTCAGGTTCAGGGTCAGGGCTCCTCCTTCAACTCTGAAGAAGGACTGAGAGAATTTGGAAATACCTTTCCCCCAAAGGTCAAGGTTATTTCATGCCTGTTTGAGTCAGCTTTTTTGCTGCTGTGGTTAAAGATGTGACCAGAACTATTTTAAGGGAGGAAAAGTTTATTTGGGGACTGTGGGTCAGTGACTCAGCAAACACCAGTCAAAGAGCCTCCCACTTGCAATCGATGTAAAGCTTTAAATCCCAAACAGGATAAAGAAGCCAAAAGATGTGGGTGACCTGCAGTCCATCATTTCACCTCTCTGGACTTAAGCTTTCCCTTCCACAAAACAAAGAGGTCGGCTGGAGTAAGCTCTAATTCCCTCCACCGAGGCAATTCTTTGATTCTAAATCATGGYACACTCAGATAGCTATCAGATGTCCCAGCAAAGCAAGAAGAGCCCAGTTCAGTTCGCAGATAGAAATCAGAACTCGGAGGTCACCAGCAAGGCAGGGCAAGGCATCAAATGTTTGGGCAGAGAGGTCAAAATCAGACCATCCCGGGGCAAGTGGGCAAGAAAGTATCTATGAGAAGATATCACCATGTGGGACCTGGACTCCACCCAAGCTCTGGGCTTGCAGGGCTTTACACCTTCCAAGAATACATGAGCCCAAGGTCTGGAGTACTTAGAGGCCAAGGAGATAGCATGTTGTGGGGGGGGGGAACTGGCCAGGAGACCAGCAAAGAGGCAGCCGTGCAAGATATAGCAGGTAGAGAGAAGGGAACAGAGACAGAGAGCAAGACAGATGCTCCTGAACTTATGACGGGGGTTAAATCCAGATAAATTCATCAGGAGTTGAAACTATTGTCCAGTGGGAAATGCATCTGCTATACCCCACACCCCAGCTTAACAACACAGTACAGAGCAGAGCACAAATCATTTCCCATTGGGATCAGCTGGTGGCAGCTGAGCACTGTGGCCCAGTGTCGAAAGAGAGAGAATACTCACAGCAGAGCATTAGCCCAGCCAGAGACCCAAACCCAAAGCACCGTTTCCACTGGATGCATACAACATTCACCCCACTGTAAAGTCAGGAGATGGTAAGATGAGTCACTGTTAAGTCAGGTACTACCTGTACTCCCTGACCTGGGTCTGGTGATCCCCGGAGGCCTGGAGGCAGACAGAGAAGGGCCAGTGTGATGAAAGATGGATAGAGCCCCTTCTGCAGACTACAGGACGTTGGGACCCCTGGGACGCTCCAGAATTCCTCTGATGAGCGATGCTACCTCCTGCTTCCTGCCGTCCATGCCACAGGCTTCTCTCCCTGCGATGCCGCCTGTCCTTTTCTTTCCATACCATGACTTGGCGTAGAAGAGGGCAAGGGACAGGCCAGGAGTCCTGAGGCTTCGGGTGAGTCAGTTATAGGGTCAGCACGGGGGGTCAGCACCCTGTGCTGCCTGGTGGCCCTCATCAGCAGCATTGGGCTGGCCTCTTTACAGGAAAAGTAATCCAGCAGGGACTATTRGATAACAGCTCGAGAAGCGCTGAGGGCAGAAGCAACCTGGATGCCCTTGTCTTCCCTGTACCATCTGTGTCAAGGTCAAAGTCACAATTCCCTTCCACTTCCAAAGCTGCCTGAGGCCCGGCTCAGTGCACTCTCTGCTYTTCTGCACAGGGCTGGACAACATACACAGGATCACGTCCCAGGGCCGCTACGAGCTGCGTGTGGATATGCGAGACGGACAGGAGGCGGCCTTTGCGTACTACGACAAGTTCTCCGTGGAGGACGGCAGGAGCCTGTACAAACTCCGCATCGGAAGCTACAATGGCACTGCAGGTACCTGTGGCCCCAGGGGCGCTGGGCATGCAGCAGGAAGGCCCCAATGACCTAGACCTGAGCTGCATGGGGGAGGAGCACCACCCACAGAGCTCTCTGTAGCCAGGGAGGACGGCTGGACCGTGAGAGTCGCTGGCTCTGGTCCCAGCCCTGGCCCCTCTGGTGACCTGCAACCAATTTAYCAGGACTTTGGTTTCCTCACCTGGAAAATCATAAGATGTCCATCCTACTTCATAGTGTAGACAGAAAAAAAAATCAGTAAATGTCATGAAAGTGCCTTTAAAAAGTTTTTAGTTAACAAGTGCAGTGTGAGAGGGAAGGCTTGCTCTCCTTAGYTAGATTAGCCTGTGTGGACTCTTACCCAGAGACAGCGGAAGCAGCTCTCACCTGGGTAGGATGTCCCCTGCAGTGACCTAAGACAATCTTTGAGGAATGAAATTAATACAGATCCCCTCAATCCCTGAGATGCCCTCTCATCCCGTGAAGGAGMGAAGGACGGTCCCTAAGTGTTCCTCGTTGGCCATGAACATTGCTTTCCTTCCTCCAAGAGAGCCACATGCACCATCGGGTTTTCCAGGTAGATTTTTATGGCATTTCTACCAAGCAGACAAACCCGCTCCAGGAGCTCTGTGGCATTAATAGTTCGATCAAGACACAGCATCAGTCTGCTCCTCAGGCTCTGCCAGTCTGTTCCTTATTTCCTGTTATATTTCATAAAGACTGTCGTGCCAGATATTCTACTGTCTGGGACAGGGAGTTACTGGCTCTCATTAACTCCAATTTCAGGGCTAAGCGTTGGTGTTTAATTTTAGCAACATTTTTTATGCCTCTTAGAATTAAGAAGAGCATCAAGGCGTTGCCCTTCCAATTACTGCATTGGCTCAATTACTTCTGTCTTCAGCCAGGTATTATAACTCCAAAGAGAAGACGCACTTTCTTTTGTTCCTGCTCATATCTGAGATCATTCGCAATGGCTGTCAGACAAGCCCAGCCAAAGGTCTAATTTGCCACACTTTGAGCATAAAATAGCCATTGAAATGGACGTATCAAACAAAATGTCAGGCGAAATCATTTCAAAAGTAACCAGATGCTGTTCACGCCCTAGGATTAGAGCTGCGCCTGTAGGAAAGCCATTCTAGTTCCCCTGGAGGAAGAACGGCAAGCCCTTCCACTTTCTGTGCCTGTGCCCCCTTCCTCGCTCCTCTTCTGCAAGCCTGGGCTTCACCTGTCTAGCTGGGGCACAGCCCCTGCTGCCTCTGGCCAGCCCTGTCTCCCTGCTGGGCCCCCCCACCCCACCCCCCAGGACAGAACAGGTGGATTCCCTCCGACTCTCCTGTGTCAGAGGCAAATCCTGCCACAGCTCTGCTCGTTGTTGTAAATTGAATGTGATTCATTCTTTGCCTTGCAAAGAGGAAATCCTGGCTCGCTGCAACTGCTCCATCTAGGCAGCTCCGCAGGCAGGTTCCTCCTGGACCAAGCAGCTTTCTGGGAGGAGAGGCCCCGCCCCTTCTTTCTGGCATGTCTGACATTGCTGGATCCCCTTGATGTTGCTGGATTCTACTGGTCCTACTGGCAACAAGCTGTGCTGAGGCTCCAAGTTCAGCCCTTTTCTCAAGGTACTAACTTACCAGTCTCTAGGTGGGGCTCTACTTGGGTAAGAACGGAGGATTCCAGATTCCACGTGAATCCATAAGTGGGTGTGGCACAACTCCTAAACGTTGGCTGTGCCCGTTGCAGAGACTCAAAGGAAGCATAGGACRTGGCCTCCACAAGAACTAAACAGCCAACTAAAAAAGAAACAACTAGGAAGTTACTCACCACACCGTGAAGGGCGCCCCCTTCCTATTTAAGGGGGGCTCAGAGAGGCAGTTGAGGAAGGCTTCTGACGGCTGCTGCATTTGAAGGAGTTGTCCATGGTCAGGAAACGCCCCTGGAKGAGAAGCCAACGTGGAGGGGGAGGCTGCGGTGGGCCACGGGGCAGAGCCAAGTTCATAGGGAATAGAAAGAAGCTGGTGAAGGAGGGGAGCTGAGCCTCCGCCGCCCCTCACTGAAGGAGCAGATGGAGTCTTAGCCTGTGGCCAGCGGGGAGCCCCTCCCTGTGAGTCCTGAAGGCGTGACAGCAGTGTGGCTCTAGGAAGGTCACTGGATGAGCCCGACACAGGATAAGGGAAATGTGAGCAAAAAACAGAGAGAGTCACTAGTGGCTGCTGCACARAACCTAATTCATAGGAGGCGATGGGAGGCCTGCTAATGTTGGGGCTGAGAGAAAGGTGTCCGTCTAACAGTGGGTCAGGAGAGGGGCGCCAAGACACGCGAGATGACGTGTGAGGCAGAAACGGGGAGAGGAGGCAGACTTGTGGAGAGCGCAAAGACCAACGTCAGGAGCACGTCTAAGAGAGTGACCGGCAGCATCAGAGCAGACACTGGAGAGGACGGCCAGGGGAGTAACGGGTGACTTCTAGGCTGCAGAGGGATCATCAGGCTAAGATGGTGACAAGGGTGGAGGCACACAGCCAAGACAGCACTAAAGAAAGGGTCACAGGACAGGAGGATTGGCCCAAGCATGTTTAAGACAAAGGATGTGAGTGTGACTTAGGAAAAGAGGACATGAGAAATGCTAAAAAAGAAAAAGAAAAAGAAAAAACAGAAGGAAAAAAAGGAAGAAGACTTTTCTGCCTTTTCCAGGACTGGGAAGAGATGACAAAGAATAAAGTTACAGGTGGTGGGATTAGCTCCAGATGAGGCTAGAAGTATAGCCCAGTAGTGAAGTACTTGCCCAGCATGCACAAAGTCCTGGCTTCAATCCCCAGCATTGCAAAAAAACAAACAAACAAATGAAATAAATAAACAAATAAAAACCCTTGGAGATGCTGGAGTGGACAGAACAGAGAAAATGACATGTGGCTTTAGGGACTCCCCCAGCCCCTGAGGTCAGCTTCCCTGTAAAACGAAGATCCACTGGCCAGGAGCCCGGCTGTGGTGGGATGCTCTGGGGGCAGTGAGCAGCCCCTGTGGGCACAACTCAGAAGCCACAGGATCAGAACCCAGCCTCACAGCAGAAATCAGCTCTGGATGCAGCTAAGGTCATTTTCACTCCATCAACAGCATGAGTCCCCCTCTCAACAGCCCAGCCACAATTCCTCCTCCAAATCCTCCCAATCATTACACACCAATGACAATCTGATCCCCTCCCTCAAACCCTCCATTCACATAAGCCCCCTGCACCRTGTCCCCAACAAGAGCTCACCCAGCCCCCATGCACCTGAGAATAGAAATCTCACCACAGCTCTARGATCTTGTGAACAGCTCAGATATTTAGAGAATTTCTCCCCTATGGTCAGCCAAACATGCCTCTTTAGTCCATAGACTTCCTCACAAAACTATTGAATGTTTCTTTTTCTCAATAATCCGTCAGATATTTGACAAAGGTGATCGTGGACCCATCTCCCTCTTGAGCCTGCCATTCCCAAGACACAGCCCCTGGCCCCACCCACCTGTCCTTTGACACAGTCCTGGTTTTTCCATCCCCCTGTTTCCTGTAGATGCRACTCTGGTTTGCTAACGTCCAAGTTCTTGCAGCACCAAGTTCTGAACATGGGTTTGGGGCGTGGTCTGATCAGGGCTGGTGTCTGGCAAAAGCCAGGCTGAACCTACACAAGGAACACCCAGAAAGGTCCAATCAGCATGGCTCATCACTGTATCCTGWGGAGACAGGACGAACCACGATTGCTCGGAGTCCCAGTGCAGTGTCCCTGTGCCTGGAGGAAGCAGACGGGGTGTGGAGAGGGGTCGTGTGGATGGAGTTCTCAGTAAAAGGCCAGGGGATGAGGAAATGGGCTGGAGAGGGCAGCACAGGAGTCGCCACCCTGGGGTCAAGTGACAGGGTGAGCTTAGCCAAGCCAGGGGAGGGGCAGAGCGGAAGGTACATGGGGGTTCCACAGGTGGGGGCCAGCTCTCCTGGGAGCGGTTCAGATGTCCCTATCCACTGTCGAGAGAGACAAATGGGACAGCCTCGTGGTGTTCTTCCTTGCAGGGGACTCCCTCAGCTATCACCAGGGCCGCCCCTTCTCCACAGAGGACCGAGACAATGACGTGGCAGTCACCAACTGCGCCATGTCGTACAAGGGAGCCTGGTGGTATAAGAACTGCCACCGGACCAACCTSAACGGGAAGTACGGGGAGTCCAGGCACAGTCAGGTGGGTACTGCTCCGCTGCGGTGAGAGGTGGCCCAGAGCCTGGAACCCACGGCCCTCGGCTCTGTCTTAAATGCCCACRCGAGTCCAGCATTTCCTGATGAAAGAGAGACACGGAAGAGTCTGGAGAAAGAACGGCCKTAAAGAGAACAGTAACGCTGAGTGGGGTAGAGACAGGCAGGGCAGGAGCCGGGGGGAGGAGGGGACCCCACACCCAGGAGCGGCACCCCAGAGGCCTGAGCAGCAGGCGGCTCCCACTCCATTTCCTGGTGGAGGGAGCTTGTCAGCTCCGGGGATGACTTCACGGGCTCAACCGCATCCTAAGAGGAGACCCAGGAAGGGAGAGATCAGAAACACCCGAGTAAGCTGGCATTTCCGCCAAAGACTGCGTACGCCCTGGCGGAGCTGGGTGGGGGGGACAGCTGAGCCAGGAGGACTTCCCAGGTGGATACTGAGAGGCCACACGGAAGGAAACCCCTTGGTTTCTGGCAAACCCAGAGGGTGAGCCATCCCAGGTGGGAAGCCCCAGCCTCCCTTCAGGAGCGAGCAGTCTGCTGCTCTCTTCAAAATGCCTGCACGCTCTCAGGATTTTAAAATTCACCGCCATCGACTCATGCAGGCAGCTCCTGAAAGCCAAAATGTCAAGCCGGCGATAAGGAATCACCCGCAACCTGTTCCCAGGGAAGGCCAGGCCACCGGCAGGTAGAAAGGGAAAGTGGACAGAGGGTCCGCTCTGGCTTTACTGGCAACTCGGCCACGAAGCTACAGCGAGATCCACAGCGTGGGCCCCCTGTACACCCTTCTCTGCATCAAGGGAAGGGAGACCTGACATGCTTCTCTTTCGCACGCCCAGGGCATCAACTGGTACCACTGGAAAGGCCACGAGTTCTCCATCCCCTTCGTGGAAATGAAGATGCGGCCCTACAACCACCGTCTCACCGCGGGGAGGAAGCGGCGGGCCCTGCGGTTCTAAACGGGGGCGGCTGATCTTCCTGTCATTTGTTTGTATTTTGTAATATGCCACAAGGGGGAGGGTCATAATGATGTGCTTTGCGACATACTCAGAGTACTTAGGAGGCAGGGTGAGCAGGAATCGGCGACTGCCACCGCTCCCCGTTTCTGCTGCCTTGGAGCCTGACCCCAGCTCCGTCCGCACTGGCCCTCCTCACCAGTCATCCCCGACCTTCCCCTCCTCTCCCGACAAGGAGGAAACGTGGGAAGTTTGCTTGAAAGGCACTCTGAAAGTCCCTCGTGGAGTGCAGGTGGCTGCAGGGATGCGGGCCTTCTTGTTCGMCCCTGCTCCTGAGATGCCTCTACCTTCCAGGTAGCCTTGGTCTGGCCATGGCCTTCCACCGGCCCAGAGAAGCAGCCTCAGCCAGGGAGCTTGGCCAACAATCCCCTTCAGAGGGCAGAAACCCGCCACACCCTGACCCGAGGGCCGGAGTCCTTCAGAATGGGCCAAAGACCGTCCTCTCTGCCACTCTTACTTTTTAAGCGCTGCGGCCTCTTCCCAGCTGCTTAGCCCTTTCCCTACCTGCAGTCCCYTGAGACCCCAAGGTCCCACTCACCCCACTGCTAATCTGGAATCAGTTCCCAAGGCGTTGCCCACTCCTGGCCCTGGGTGGTGTGGTGGCTGTGTCCCCAGGAGTCTCAAGCCACTGTCCCCACCTCAGGGCAGCCAGTCTACAGATGCTTGGTGGCAGGAAGGAGRGATGGCTTTGTTTCCCACAGTCTGGGTCTGGCATCTGGAGACGACAGGTTCAACGGGAAACATGGCCTATGCCCAGCTCATTTTCTCCATTTCCAGTCTGAGTTATCACGGACATGTTTAAAAACTTGCCAACAGAAGGCCTGACTTCTGTCTTCTGCCAAGCTCTCCTTGGTACAGGTGACTTAATAAGAGTCAGGAAAAGACGTTGTAAGACCCGTCAGCCGTTCATCCCCTGACGGGAGTCCCGGGAGGAGGCAGRATGTTTGTTTAGGAGGTTTTATTTTACTTAACTTTATGTTCTTCCTGTGGGAAACAGAAATGACCCCTGAATGAGTTGAGATCATGGGAAGTCTTTCTCCATCTTCCTTGTTGTAAATGAACGGTCCAGAGGAGATAGCATTTAGAAATCTCAAGGTGGGAAGGGCGGAATGGGCCTGTTTCTGGGATGAGAGGGGCTGCCTCCACCAGTTTTAATCCGAGAGAACTGGAGGCGCTGGAAGCTGTGGCCTCTCAACTTCCCCTCGACATCAAATGCCAGCTGCCACCTTCCCTCTCAAGTCTGTGTCCCATCCAGGGCTGCCTTCTACCTTTGCTCTCCCATTCCYTAGGTCCCCCTTCTGTCCTGGGCAGGGCCACTTTGTCAAACACGGGCATTGTGTACCTTTGCCAGCCAGTTACTGGACGAGCCTGAGCTCTAGCAACTTTCTGATAGAGATATCCACACTCTGACCATGCTTGGATGATCCTGAAGGGACAGTCCCTTCTGGTGTCAGGAGGATGAAGTCAGCCTGACATTTACTGTCGCCTCTCCCTTTTGTGGGCTCCAACAAGGCTTTGTCCCCTACTGGGCTGTGGACAGGGTTGACATACCTGGGGCCAAAAAATGTAGGTGGTGTTTTTTCATTTCTCAATTCACCATGGGCTTCACAAAACGAAGAGAAGGAACAAGATAAATGTGTCAATTTAATAAGATTCAGCCTGAGCAGGACAACCACAGAGAGAGGGAGGCATACTGGATACAGAACTCAAGAGCTAAGGGACAGGTCTTCCTTTGCCGTGTCGCTAGCTGCACGACTTTGGGTAGGATGTTTCACGTCTCTGGGCCTCAGTTTCCTTGACTGTTGAATGAGAGACTAGAAAAAAATTCAACTTCTCTTTCAATTTTCACAGTCAATCGTGCAAATCCATGAGATTGGTGAGAACAGTGAGGTCATGGAAATCTGCCAGAAGCCCTGTGGGGGAGGGCAGGGCAGAAAGAAGGAAGACAGGTACAGAGGGAGGAGGGAGGGAGGGAGGAAGGGGGGTGGGTTCAGAAGTCAGAAGTCACGTGCACACACACACACACACACACACACACACACGCTGCAGAGAAGACCGTGCCAAGGAAAAGGCTGGACTGTGTCTGAGAGCCGAGCTGGGAACTGGGTGTGCTGGTGCAGCCCACCTCATCAAGGGAGCTGGACTGGAACCAGAGTGTGCGCCGTTAGTCCAGGGGAAGCCAAGAGACGTCTGTGGAAACCAAGACCTGCCTTTCGTTGGAACCATTTTACACTGTGGAACGTTTTTATAAATAGCCCTGGCAACATTACCTAGATTCATTTTAAAGAATGTTAAAGCAAGAAAGGGACTTCAAAGATCAGCTCAGCCAACCCTCTATAAAAGGGTTTCTAAATTCCTTTTGTTCAGGAGAGTGATCTCCTCATGAGTTTTAACCATTTKTTAGGGGACTGTGTTCCGCTGCCTTCCTGAGACCTGTGGTCAGCTTGACTCAGACCTTCTTAACTCGACTCACTTCCCTTCTTTCTAAGCTTCTTACGAAGAAGCGGCKTCGGAGCTGCTTAAGATTCATGCCTCAGCATCCTGTTCCTCTAAGCACCTGTGATTCTCCCAGAGAGGGACACAGGAAGCCCCGCAGCAGCCTGCAGCTTCCACAGGATTCAGAAGGAATGGAATTAGACCCTGCCGGGAAAGCAGTCTAACCAGAGACACAACGCGACTCCTTTACCACCCCACAAAAACCAAGAGCAGCTCCTGCGGCTGCGGAGGACTCCCCRCCCAGAGCTGGAGGATAAAGATGGTTTCCACATGTTGAACTGACATTGTCCAGGGTTGCWTCTGGAAGGTGAAGAGGTTATCTTCACCTGCATCAGGGAGATAAACCTGTGGAAGGGAGGGGGCTGGCTGAGAGTGACCACAAGGTGGTGCTTGGGACACCTAGCCACCTCCTGTAACCCCAGAGAAGCTCTCTGGGGACTGAGGACCCCAGGGTCCCCCTGGTTTCCAGAACTCRGAGCCACCAGGCACCCAGGGCTGATTTGTAGTGAAGGTTGATTTGTAAAAGCACAACCACCAAATGGGAGCCGAGGAATGGAGAACACGCTTCTACAAACAATCCCACCCTGCCCCTCACGGACTCCAGCCCTCAAGTGAAGGGACACTGCTTCCTTCCACCAGCCAGCTCTCTGCAGGCTGGAAACTGCTGTTTCCGAGACAGACACGAAGACTCGAGGTTGCCGATGAGCTCAATTCTCACCCCAACAACCTAAACACATTTTTATTCTTCAAATCTAGTTCCAGAACAGAGTTACAGATGACGGGACAGAAGGTCATTATAGGATCTTTTCAAAAGCTGTTTTTAAAGCATCCGTTGAGAAAGCATTTATGAGCTCCTCTTGGTCCTCTTCTCGAGAAAAAGAAAACTGGAACCTGTGAGAACACCGGATGCACCAAGCTGAGGGGCTTGAAAAAGACTGGCGGGTGACCTGGATATGGGGCATGGACAGTTCTTTCTTTCTTTCTTTCTTTTTTTTCTTCCTTCCACCCAGAATTTCAGGAAAGCTGGAGCCATATGATTTTCTACTTACTTTCTTGTCACCAGACTCCTGTTCAATCAAACTCCTTTGTTCCATTTCTTTCCCTTCAAAGTAGGGGAAGGGGCTCACCTTCCRTCTCTATTTGCATCTCACCATCGACTCTTAAAACTTTGAAAAAGACACTGAAAGACTCACACTAGTTCGATTTCACTAACCACAGGAGGTGGAGAGTTTGTGTTTGCTTGCCTTACAGTGATCAAGATTACAAGAGGGGTCTTGGGGACTTTGGAGGCCGGGATGGATCTRTGAAGCTGGAGCTGCATCTTCACCTAAGATCCCAGAGTGGTCCACTTCCTTCCAGGCTAGGGGACCAGCAGGARCTAGCCTTTGGGGGAAGGCAAAATGAGAGGCTGGAGTGGCCTGTCGCCTCTCTCTGGCTGCTTTGCAGGGTCCTTTGAGAACATTTCTGAAGATCTTTGGCKGATGGCTTCCCCAAACCTTTGCTTCTCCCATAACTCAGCTTCTCATATCTGTAATAAGGTTTCCCTCAGATAATACTTGGGACTTTTGATACAACTGGGCCAAATGAGAACTCACAGTCCAAATAAAAACCTCCAAATCACATGGGGAAAACAAGTCTAGGATCCTTTAAGAGTGAATGTTGGTGTGGATTCAGGTTGAATAGGAAAAACCCAGCTCCTTCGAACCGTGTCTACACTGGATTTATTTAAGCCAGTTCTGTACGTTTTGAGCTCTGAGGAACAGCTAGGAAGAAGGAAAAATTAAAAATCTAATAAAAGAAGCAGATAGATCATTGGAGATTAAAATGAAGACTTCTCCAGATGGCCCCACATTAAAAATGCAGAGACCAGGCCTGAGTGGCCATGACAAAGGTGCCAGCGTTGCCCTCCCCAGTTCTGGCCTCTGGTCTCCAACCAGATCTCCTCAGTCACCCACCTCACCTGAGGAAAAACCAAGGCACCTGAGGCCTTGCGCCCAGAGCACGGGAAAAGGCCTTGTCTGCTGGCTGGGCCCGTCCTGCCTGGACCTCACTTTTCCTTCCCCAGCAGTCACCGCCTGGACTTCATCTCCAGCATTGCTGATTTATTTTTCAAGGTCACTCCCTGCCTGAAACATGACTTCATCACACCTGCAGCACTTCATTGTCCAAATGTCCTTGGCGAACCTCACAGTCTTTGGACAGTGTTGCATTTTCTCCAAACAGGAAATCCTCCCTCCTTCTCCAGGCAGAGAACCCAAAGAGCCCAGCTCTTGTTTCTCGGGCAAAGTTGGCCCCTCTATTCACTTAATAAAACAGCTCCTGATTGTCTGGGCGGTGAGCCTGGCTAACGCTGAATTTCCAGTTCAGAAGCGTTTAACCCTTGCATCCTCATCGRGCCGGCCCTCCCAGGCACTAGCACGGGCTCTCTGGCACCACGGTCTTAGGTGGGGAAGTGCAAGGTCCTTCACACGCCCAGGAAGCCTGGAGCACCTGAGCCCCAGAGARGGGTGTGGATTCAGATATGTGGCCAGGAGAACACTAGATGGCCTTCCGGTCACTGTTCTAGCATCTCCAGGGAAACCAGGCCTGCTTTTTGCCATCTTGCACTCCAACACTCACGCACTCCACCCTGCCTTCTAGACCAAC